TAGTTCCAGTGAAAGGAACGCTTAACGCTACAGCATACAATGACATTCTAGACGATTCTGTGCTTCCAACTTTGTGGCAACAGTTTGGGGAAGGCCCTTTCCTGCTTCAGCATGACAATGCCCCCGTGCACAAAGCGAGGTCCATACAGAAATTGTTTGTCGAGATCGGTGTGGAAGAACTTGACTGGCCTGCACAGAGCCCTGACATCAACCCCATCAAACATCTTTGGGATGAATTGGAACTCGCCGACTGCGAGCCAGGCCTAATCACCCAACATCAGTGCCCACCTCACTAATGTTCTTGTGGCTCAATTCCATATTAATGCCTATGCTTTTGGAATGAGATGTTAGACAAGCAGGTGTCCACATACTTTTGGTATATCGTTCATGACATTTGGACGGTTGCTACAATCCATTTATAATAGAAAAAACAAATATTATGTGTGTCGTTATTGCTTGAAATCATTATTGCTTGAAATCAGACAAAAGTAGGCTATCTCTGGCTGCACTGATAAAACATATATATTTTTAAATGGTCAAGACTCCAGCCACCCAAGTCATAGACCAGGTGTTCCCAAATATAAATTGAAAAATTATATTCCCTAGTTAACGCTGTTTGATCATATTCACTCAATTTTGGGTCTGGCATGCTGTCCCAAATCATAATAACGACATGAAAGTGCATTAAAGTCCTTTAGTTGACACTGAAAGGTTGTATTTTATGCTTCGCACAGCAAGCGGTACTGATGCACCAAGTCTGGAACCAACAGGACCCTGAACATCTTCTACACCTATGCCATGACTGACAAATAGTTAGTTCAATAGTTAACCAAATAGCTACCCCGAGTATCTGCATTGGCTCTTTTTGCACAACTTTTTTGACTCATCACATTAACTGCTGCTACTGTTTATTATCAGTCACTTTATTCCTAGTTATATGTTAAAAGTACATATCTACCTCAATACCCCTGAACATCGACTCGGTACTGGTACCCTGTGTATATAGCCAAGTTATCGTTACTCATTGTGTATTTATTATTACTTTTAGTATTACGTGTTATACTTTTCTATTATTTATCTATTTTGTTTCTCTATGTATTGTTGGGAAGGGCTCGTTTATGAAGCATGTGACGAATAAAATTTGATTTGATACTTTCAATCCGGAAAGAATGCTTCCGTACTCTGCTCGTTTTCGCTTGCGTAAATTTAGTTGAAAACGTCATTTTGCGGTGTCTCATGGCGCGCGCATCAGGTAGCCTTGTCTATATAAACCATTCGGATTTGGGAATTACAAAACACACAACAAGAACAAAGTGAAAACCGGTTAAGCAAGTCTGCTGCAGAGTGAGTAATGAATTACTTTTTGCTCTCTGTGACTAGGCTGAGTTTGGGAGGTTTTGACTGTTGAAGTAGTTTTAGCAATTGGGTCGTTTTTGAAATGCGGTGGCATTTGGGCATGCCATTTAGGAAAGAATTAACTACATTTTTCTTTATATTTTTCTTTATTTAAATGTAGGCTATTTGGGTATCTTCCCATTCTAAATCTACTAATATGGCAGCTTAATGACGACTATCAGTAACATTTCAACTATCTACTAACCCTAGCCCTAACCCTAAACTTAATCCTTATCCTTATCCTAACCCTAAACTTTACCCTAGCCCTAACTCTAACCTTAACCCTTACCCTTATTCTAAACCTTACCCTATAACACTAATCTAATTTTAGGAAGCACTTGCTTATCAACAGATAGTCAGTTGCTTATCAACAGATAGTTTGTTAATAGTATGACCGTACTATCCAAATAAAGTGTGACTGATAATGTTTACCATTATGATAACTTTGCACATACTACAAAGTAGGATCAATGAGTTAGCCAGCTAACTTTGATAAACAGCCAAAAATAACCATTGATTTTCTGGTTCATTATGAAAGCTAAACTTAGATATGTGTTTTTGTTTGTTGAGTGAATTACACCATGCCCAAAATAAAAAGTTATTTCAGAACATTTTGGCAAGTTAGTTGGCTAACTCCTTGATACTGCGTTGTAGTTAGTACACCCTACAGGTGTAGTGGAACGTTTGTGCTTGAGGGTAGTGTACTATGGTAATTTAGCAACCTAATCACTACAGATGTTATCGGGTTGTTGCTGAATGTGTACTGTGCAGCATTTGTATCTAATGAAGGAAATGTAATTTCCTTTATTAGATATTCTAAAATACATAAACATATGTTATTTTAGTAGTTTATAACATCTCAAAATTGATTCTACTAGACGCTATATAGCACATAAACAGTATAGTATGATGGTGGAAGATATTAAGAAGGAAATAACAAGAGTAGAAAAGAACATGTAAGTATAGGAAGTATAGAAATGAGACTGAATTTACGAAAGGGGTCAGCATTTGGGGAATAATAGAGCTGTTTTGTGATCAAGTAAAAGCTGTGCAGAGTCCTTTAGTTCGATTTTCACCAAGAGCTTGGAAGGTCCCCAAATACATTTTACAAGGGCATGGAGAGGGTCTAGTATAATGTCATTGACACAATTGTTAAAACAGAGTGTGTTATATATAAGCCTCTACAAAGTCTCTTTGATGATTTCATAACAAGTGGCAGGTGAAGTGGGACATTCATGTATTTCTAATGAGAAAATAGTGCCCCACTTCATCTACTAAAGGGTCCCACTACAACTGAAAGACACGCTTTAGCAAAAGTAGGGGTCTGATGATGTTTTAGGGATTGTAGCATCCACAGAATAAACAGTTATCCACTTGTTTCGTCATAAACATGTAGATAAGACCTTCATTAATTAAAATAAACATTACTTGAGTAGGGTAGGCTGATTTTGATTGTCTACATAGCGATTTACCAAAACTGTCCCTCTAATGCTGACTTCACCCTAGGAGTAGTAGACTGTGCCTTAAAACAGCTTGGAAAATTCCAGAAAATGATGTCATGGCTTTAGAAGCTTCTGATAGGCTAATTGACATCATTTGAGTCAATTGGAGGGGTACCTGTGGATGTATTTCAAGGCCTACCTTCAAACTCAGTGCCTCTTTGCTTGACATCATAGGAAAATCAAAAGAAATCAGCCAAGACCTCAGAAACAAAAATGGTAGACCTCCACAAGTCTGGTTCATCCTTGGGAGCAATTTCCAAACGCCTGAAGGTACCACGTTCATCTCTACAAACAATAGTACGCAAGTATAAACACCATGGGACCACGCAGCCGTCATACCGCTCAGGAAGGAGACGCATTCTGTCTCCTAGAGATGAACGTACTTTGGTGCGAAAAGTGCAAATCAATCCCAGAACAACAGAAAATGACCTTGTGAAGATGCTGGAGGAAACAGGTACAAAAGTATATATATCCACAGTAAAACAAGTCCTATATCGACATAACCTGAAAGGCCGCTCAGCAAGGAAGAAGCCACTGCTCCATAACCGTCATAAAAAAGCCAGACTACGGTTTGCAACTACACATGGGGACAAAGATCATACTTCTTGGAGAAATGTCCTCTGGTCTGATGAAACAAAAATATAACTGTTTGGCCATAATGACCATCGTTATGTTTGGAGGAAAAATGTGTAGGCTTGCAAGCCGAAGAACACCATCCCAACCGTGAAGCACGGGGGTGGCAGCATCATGCTGTGGGGGTGCTTTGCTGCAGGAGGAACTGGTGCACTTCACAAAATAGATGGCATCATGAGGAAGGAAAATGATGTGGATATATTGAAGCAACATCTCAAGACATCAGTCAGGAAGTTAAAGCTTGGTCGCAAATGGGTCTTCCAAATGGACAATGACCCCAAGCATACTTCCAAGGTTGTGGCAAAAGGGCTTAAGGACAACAAAGTCAAGGTATTGGAGTGGCCATCACAAAGCCCTGACCTCAATCCTATAGAAAATGTGAACTGAAAAAGCGTGTGCGAGCAAGGAGGCCTACAAACCTGACTCAGTTACACCAGCTCTGTCAGGAGGAATGGGCCAAAATTCACCCAACTTATTGTGGGAAGCATGTGGAAGGCTACCCGAAACGTTTGACCCAAGTTAAACAATTTAAAGGCAATGCTGCCAAATACTAATTGAGTCTATTATTCCCCAACTTCTGACCCACTGGGAATGTGATGAAAGAAATAAAAGCTGAAATAAATCTTTCTCTCTAATATTATTCTGACATTTCACATTCTTAAAATAAAGTGGTGATCCTAACTGACCTAAAACAGGATTTTTACTAGGATTAAATGTCAGGAATTGTGAAAAACTGAGTTTAAATGTATTTGGCTAAGGTGTATGGAAACTTCCCGACTTCAACTGTAAATAAAATACAACGGTATTTTAATAGCCTTCTTTGTTTTTATTGATCTATACAATATATTAAAGACTTGTGTTTACTTTCTAGCATTCAAAATAATAGATAGATATCTCTAAATCCCCAAAACATGTAACTACAACTCTACTCATCACTACTGGGACAAGCCAATTTGCTTGCCCTAGGTACTTTAAATAATGCATAAACATAACCTTTTGCAGTATAAAGGACTTGCATTATGTTCTATCATTGATAAACACACAAATATAAACAAAAACATGTAGGATGTTTAAGTATTTGTAATTTGAAAGTGTTTTTCATGGTTGCAAAGGCAAGGGACGCAAAGCCACAGTAATTACAGTCGCAATTAGCAAGAGTAAAGAAGCGATTCTTCATTATCATTACTTAACACAATATAATGTTCCATAGCATTGTAGAATCAATAGGTTGAAGACCAATTGATTTCTTTCGTAAGCAACTTTGGCACACATTTAAGCACCATAGATAGTGCACCTGCTAATGTGTCTCTGATAAAGCCTGCTGTCAAAAAGACGAAATCTTACTCATCAAAAAGCTTTGCCTAAAACAAAACTGATGATAACTTTATGATTCTGATGTCAAGAATGCCAAGCTTTTGTTAAAGTCCAGCAGTCGTCAGGGAAATGCTAGTCTACATTCTTTAATTACAGATGGCCAACATACTGAGACCCTGGTTGATCCTCATAGCCCTCGTGCTGTGCGTGCTGGTTTGTCTGGGCACCTTCACGGATGCCTACTCGACCAAGCCGGTGAGCCCCGACAACAACGCGCCTCCGGAGGAATGGGCCAGATACAACATGGCGCTGCGACACTACATCAACCTCATCAACAGACAGAGGTGAGTGAGTTCAGCACTCTGTAGGCTAACATGTTATCAACATGGGAAAACCTTGTCTTAGATATGGCACAAGAGTCAGAGATAATGCAACGTTTCAGCCTATTAGGGGGGAAAACAATTTATCAAACCAGGTTTATGGGAATGGAACCTCCTACTGACAATCAATAGATTGATAGCATATTCCTTCACTCAATTTTAATACAAAGGCAACAAAAAAATCCCACTCCTAAATTCCAATAAAATGTTGCTGATATTCTTAAGAGGGTCAAATTACCACTATAGCCAAGGTCACAGGAGAAGTTCTGAGGGGACAAGAGACATTTGAACTAAGCCTGAGAATAATGATGTTCTCTTGGCTTTCCAACCAGCCTGTTGTTCTGAACACTGTTATAACATAACTTCATTCCAGTTTTGGCAAGCCACATATGCAGCAGCATTATACAGACAGAGAGATTAGTATTTTGAGAACAGAGTGCAGTTATTAAAAATAATGATGGTATGGACAGGAAGGAAAAGGAGCCTGGTTTTGCTATAGGCATTAAGTTAATGTCCTGCCTCTGTGTTTTGTGGGCAAGAGGAAAGCTCAACATGAATTGCTCCTGTCTCTCTCTGTGTGTGTGCGTGTGTGTGTGCGTGTCCGTGCATCCATGGTGTGTGTGCATATGTGTGTGTGCCTGTGTATATGTATATGGGCTTGTACGTTTGTGGCTCAGAGATTTCATGTAGGCCTATAGAGTTTGATGGATCCTGAAACCAATCCAGTCTCAGACTGCAGTCTATCATTAAATAGATTATCCGGTACTTTTGTATACTTTTTAGGCAGTAGTTCTAAAAGCAGCACTCATGAGCCAAAAGTGGTCCCCGAAAATTGTCTACGTATGTACCTATTGCGTACATATTGCGTACATATATGAACTACGTCATGCTCTCTCTCTCTCTATCTCATCATCGCTCTCTCTCTCTCTCTCTCTCTATCTCTCCTCTCTCTCTCGCCTCTCTCTCGCTCTCTCTCTCTCTCTCCTCTCTCTCTCCTCTATCTCTTCTCTCTCTCTCTCTCTCTCTCTCTCTCTCTCTCTCTCTCTCTCTCTCTCTCTCTCTCTCTCTCTCTCTCTCGCTCTCTCTCTCTCTGTGCTGTGTCTACTGAGCCATTGGGCACGCCCTGCAACCTCAATGGATAACGCTGGGCCGACTTCTTGATAGCTGTCACTCAAATGCGAGGGGCTGAAACTCATTGGCTAGAACTCGAATTGCTAGGGGGCAGGCACACGTGGGGGGAAATGTAGGGAAAATGGCACGGCACAGCTTCAAGAAAACAGTCGCTTTCAAACTAGGGATTTCGTGGCTAATTGAGGTAAAACAGTAATTCTGCTCATAGATTATGCATGTATGAACTACACATTGACACATCCAGCCCAAAGCGCAAGGTTTAAAAAATACTTTCTTAGTCGTCAATGAACCGGAGCATGTCTTTAAGAGGGCTGGAGCTGTCAATGCACTACAAGAGCTGTGTGCCATGCAGTTCAGCCCCTCTTGTTCTCACACAAAGGGAGATTCACTCCTCATTGGCAAAGCATTGATTTCAGTAAAGATGATTTAAAAGCCTTGGCACTGTCTGTGGAGCCGAGGATTGCTTGCCTTGCTGAGCATTGGGCATTGGACTTTCAAATCTCTCCTCGTTTGGAGCTAATTGCTTGAGATATGTGTTCTTGCCTCTGGAGATAAAAATGGTATAGGTGATTAGTGAGTAGTGAGTACACACACTTGGGCAGGGGTCCCCATTACATTCAGCCGTGGGCCTATTTTTCCTTGCGAGGATGGTCGGGGAGCCGGAACACACAGTAGTTATAAATCATTTGTACACTGCAAATTGACAGCAAGAATTCCAAACAGATATAGTATTTGACAAAAACTGAATAATTACATACCTTCATTACATTGGGATATGATCACAAATTCCTCGCTATTTATGCGTGGGAATCCTTGCGAACAGATTTCCTAAATTAAAATCACTTTGAGCTGATTTCCTGGTGATTTTACAGTCTTTTATGTCCAACAATAATACTTATCAAATATTTTGCTCAGAAGACTTGGGGGGTCAAATAAAATCCCCTGTGGGCAGAATTTGGCCCACGGGCCACCTATTGGGGAACCCAGCAGTAGGGTATTCATACCGATAATGCCTATGTATTTTCTTGAAACTTTGGCTCTATCTCAATACATTTTTCCTTGATTCTTGGCATCCTCTTTCTTAAAACGCATTGAGAAGGAGTTCTGAAGGGAAGGACCTCGGATCTTCTCCTCCAATACGGTTGCGAATAAGGCAAGAACACGAGGAATCTCGGAAAGACAAATTGAGGTAGTGCCTTGGAATACATGGGGCTGTCGACGATGAGGTGGGCAGGCTATTCATTGCCACAAGGGGACACGATATGATCATAGGATCCCTGTTAGCATACTCCAGCAAGTAATGTAAATCTCTTGGTGACATACAGTATGTGATGGTCTCTGTGTCCACTAGGTATGGGAAGAGGTCTGCATCTGAGTCAGCTCTGGCGTGGTTGCTGTTCAGAGACGAGTCGGAAGGCGACTTAACACCACGGTGAGAGAATAAAGAGACTGGGGGAAAGGATGATTCAAAGTGACTGTCTGCTATTTGTTACAACAGACTCATACCTTGAGTATATCAACATGACCCGTGCACACACCTGCAGTAGCAATGTGTCAGTCCACTCAGAGTTTCCAAAAAGTAGTGCCCACACTGGATAGCAATATCTAAGTTTGATCACTTGATATTGAGTTTAGTGAGTTTGAAAGGGCAGGTACTGACTTTTCTATGACTTTTCTAACAGTTTGGATGGCAGTGATCTAGGATAAATCTGGGTCCTGTCCCACTGGCATGCTGCTCTGCTGTTCCACTCAAATGGTGGGCCTTACAACAACTCAAATAGGCGGCTCAACTGGAAACCTTCACTGGACTGTGTGGCACACTATTTATTTTCGACATGTATGCATGCATCTCTCTCTCTTTCTCGCTCTCTCATGCCAACACATAATTGTCTGAATATGTTTTGACATAATTTGTAATTAAATTAAACAGTGAATAATAAATAAATGTGTTATAATACATCTTGTCACAGTGAGCTTTTGTTGAAAGCCTTTCTTTTTCTGTAACTCACCAGATAAGCAAAACCATATTTATATCCAAAAGCCATGATTGGAAATTATCCTCGACCACCCACCACTTCAAGCCTATTATTAACCATGGTTACAAGAGTAACATCATTGTGTGTGTCATATTCATACCACTAGGTGACAGTATATTACAAGGAAGTGCAGTTACTGCAAACATTTTCTCTTCACCTTATTTGCCATTGGAGTTGTAATTTATGCATTAGACCACATATTCTACTGACCTTGCTGCAGGACATGGACAGCCTACACATTTACCATAATTCCTCACAATGGTATTGAAGTATCAGCATTTTAATACAGTTTCCTATGGTGAAGATGAAACTCATTATTTCGAAACTTTTGGAAACAGTATAGTGTACTATTTTCTTAATTTGTTTATGGTACATTGTATATTATATTGTCTTATCACGTGTGATATTCCCCTCTTTAAATCGTCTAGACTCAAGACCTGCATTCAAACCGCAGTTCGGTGGGATCTGCACTGTGGCAAACATACGGTTTCCCCTTTTATCTTCAGCAACCGTGCTCAGGGATTTGACATTTCATCCGCGCGGTCTAGCTCTCGGCTCGAATTGGACAGTGGAAGCAACAGAAGCAAGGTAACCTAATATGAGCTCCTAAAGTAGTGATTTGTTGAATACAATGAATGATGTTGTTGATATAGAAGATGATCATTTCTTGTCGCCATCGTTTTCTTCTTTGTACCCCGGCTATTTAAAATCTATTGTGATTCTGCCGTGATGCGCGCGTGGCACCAGGTGGTTTGTTTTACGCTAGTATCCATCATATGACGAATGAATGGACTGTACATTGTGAATTGTTGATAGTGGTGGTATCGCAATATCAAGAAGGATGATAGTGCACATGATAGCATACTCCCAGCACTTTACCTCCTCTAGTTTACGCTACGTCCATAGGCGATGGTTATGGTTATTACGCAGGAGCCTATTGGTGTGCATACAAAGCCCACAGATGGTGAGGAATAGTCTAAGAAAAAAGCATTTAAGCAAACTATTTTTGATTTATCCCACGTACGGTACTCAATAGGTGGCAAGTTGTGTGAGGGTATACAATGTAGTCTAACTCTTGTCCGGTCTTCCATCTTTTGTGCTCGTGAACAATATATCACTGACTTTACAAGTATGAACAATAACCTATGAGTTAATGATTAATAATCAATCATACTCTTGGAAATGCAATTGGGACTGGGAGAGAATGGCTGTTTTACAATAGCAGAATTCCAGACCTTATGTAGCCATAAGGACAGTCGGATCGGACATCAAAATGAACCTGTTCCCTGGTGCATGCCACGTCACCCCCTACGCACCAAATTTCGCTTACAGTTTGAATCTGATTATATGAATAAACAAACATAAAACAAACACATGATAAGGTGTAATTTTGTTCTGAGAGTAATAGCCTACAGTAGCTTATTGAGTAATAACATATTGTAGCAAATTCGAGGGGTAGCCCCGACCGGGACTCGAACTAGGGTCCAGGACTGTCAAGCAAACACTTTAACCCAGAGATGGGCACCTTGCGAGCAAACATTTTTAGAGGCCCTCCCTCTTGACAGTGGAGAGAACGTTTTCGAATTAATTTCCTGCAATTCCCTACTGTGCACAGACTTCAGTTCAAAGTCTAGTTGGTTGAGTTGTCAACTAACGTGAATTCAACGTGAAATCAACAAAACATTTCACCTTCATTGGATTTAGGTAAAAAGTTGGGTGAATTTTTTTCTCCTTACATTGATGACTTTTTACAAATCGAATCAGTTTTCCACAAATGTATTTTTTGTTGAAATAACGTGGAAACTCAACCATACCATTCAATCAGAACATCATACCTGGTGGATGAGACCATGATGTAAACACTTTCAATTCATTTTGACCACTTCTCTAACAAAGTAATTGGGAGAGGGAGTAGTCTAGCTCACCTACTGAATGAGCACTGAGGACCTTTTCAACCATCATAGTGTCCTTTAAATGTTACACTCACATTTACAGTGAGATGATTATGTCTAAAATCATAGATCATATCATATTAGGTGCTTGGGTGGAGATGAGTTGCAGCAGTTATTCAAGTATTCTAATACAGTTTTTTACACATCAAAACTGTGAAAAGTCTTATTCTGGAGTGCTTTTAGCTCAGATTAAAGGAACTTCATCCTTCTTAATAGTCTCCTTTTGAGAACTTGCAGCTGCAACATGATTTTTGGCGGGTTTGACAGCTGTGTGATGCTGCAAGATCAGTGGGCTCCACAGAAATGCTACCTAAGCGTAGTCCCCTGTAGCTCAGTTGGTAGAGCATGGCGCTTGCAACGCCAGGGTTGTGGGTTCGTTTCCCACAGGGGGCTAGTATGAAAAATGTATGCACTAACTGTAAGTCGCTCTGGATAAGAGCGTCTGCTAAATGGCTAAAATGTAAATGTAAGCACTTCCTTACACAGTATGAAAACACAGCCAGATTTGGGGTGATTCTCAATTGGGGAAGGTCTAGACTCCTCTGTCATCCTCTCCATGACCGGGAAACCTATAAGTGGTCGCCATATGTAGGAGTGTCAATTTGTTAATAGGCGAATGGAGGAGTTTGCTCCTCTACTCGATTGCCTCCTCCGGCGAAGGATGTTCAGGTGTATCCTACCGCAGAAGAGTTTTGAAATCTGCCACACCCCCTTTGAAACAGCTGTTGTTTTCTCGGATGAGAAAATCATGCACACATTTAAAAACGATATGCTACTTATCCTTTTATTAATGTGTAGCACAACTAGCTACATTTCTTTTGACCATTTTACAGATGCATTTTGGGATTCCACGTCTGTAAACGTCATTTGCCTGATGACGCACTAGAGTAGGATAGCCTCATTTCATATACAAGCGCATTTGTTTCCACATTTCCTTGCCTCCTCTCCTTGATTACCTTTGACCTTTTTCAAAAGGAGACGAGGCGAAGACGTGAGGAATAGAGGAAATCCAATTGAGATTCTCCCATAGTCTTAAGCCTTCCTTACTTCTTCCTTCTATCCTTACTTCCTTTCTTCCTTGAGGCAATGACTGCAAGGTAACCAGTTTATTAATTCACAATCCAACCGTGTCAGATCAGTGATTAAGGAAGGAAGGAAGGATCTCTAAAATATTTAAACAGGGCCTAGGATAGCCTCAAATCTCACAATTGTAAGGTTATGATGGGGTAACCTAACATAGCAGGCGTAAAATAAACATTTACGTCATTTAACAGACGCTCTTATCCAGAGTGACTTACAAATTGGTGCAGTCACCTTATAGCCAGTGGGATAACCACTTTACAATGTTTTTTTTTTTTTTTTTTTTTGGGGGGGGGGGGGGGGGGGGGGGGGGGGGGGGTGTAGAAGGATTACTTTATCCTATCCCAGGTATTCCTTAAAGAGGTGGGGTTTCAAATGTCTCCGGAAGGTGGTGAGTGACTCCGCTGTCCTGGCGTCGTGAGGGAGCTTGTTCCACCATTGGGGTGCCAGAGCAGCAAACAGTTTTGACTGGGCTGAGCGGGAACTGTGCTTCCGCAGAGGTAGGGGAGCCAGCAGGCCAGAGGTGGATGAACGCAATGCCCTCGTTTGGGTGTAGGGACTGATCAGAGCCTGAAGGTACGGAGGTGCCGTTCCCCTCAAAGCTCCGTAGGCAAGCACGATGGTCTTGTAGCAGATGCGAGCTTCAACTGGAAGCCAGTGGAGTGTGCGGAGGAGCGGGGTGACGTGAGAGAACTTGGGAAGGTTGAACACCAGACGGGCTGCGGCATTCTGGATGAGTTGTAGGGGTTTAATGGCACAGGCAGGGAGCCCAGCCAACAGCGAGTTGCAGTAATCCAGACGGGAGATGACAAGTGCCTGGATTAGGACCTGTGCCGCTTCCTGTGTAAGGCAGGGTCGTACTCTCCGAATGTTGTAGAGCATGAACCTACAGGATCGGGTCACCGCCTTGATGTTAGCGGAGAACGACAGGGTGTTGCCTAGGGTCACGCCAGGGCTCTTCGCACTCTGGGAGGAGGACACAACGGACTTGTCAACTGTGATGGCGAGATCATGGAACGGGCAGTCCTTCCCCAGGAGGAAGAGCAGCTCCGTCTTGCCAAGGTTCAGCTTGAGGTGGTGATCCGTCATCCATACTGATATGTCTGCCAGACATGCAGAGATGCGATTCGCCACCTGGTTATCAGAAGGGGGAAAGGAGAAGATTAGTTGTGTGTCGTCTGCGTAGCAATGATAGGAGAGGCCATGTGAGGATATGACAGAGCCAAGTGACTTGGTGTATAGCGAGAATAGGAGAGGGCCTAGAACTGAGCCCTGGGGGATACCAGTGGTGAGAGCACGTGGTGCGGAGACAGCTTCTCGCCACGCCACTTGGTAGGAGCGACCGGTCAGGTAGGACGCAATCCAAGA